AAGCTTCGAATACTAAAAAAAAGCAGCTATCTTTTTAGACCAGTGAAATTTGTTGAGAATTAATTATTTATTATGTTTGGTAAATTTTTGAAGAAAAAAAGCTTGTTTATCGAAAAGATAACTAACTCACTTAGTTAATTTATTCGATTTTCGAATTTATTTTTGTAATCCATAGAGTGAAGTGCTTGAGAGTACCCTAAATCGTTCTTAAGAGATCTCAGAACTTGGTTTGTAAAATCTTATAGTCATAATTATACTATTATTATCGATCATGATATGCTAATTAAAATTGTTAATCTAGATAAATATAACACGAAACTTCATTTCTTATAGGGCTAATTGATAATAAGTATCAATCTGAAAAACAAAAATTTCCGGGAAGTAAATTAGTAGTATAGATTCTGTATCTACTTATAACATATATATAACAGTATTAATTATAAAGTCAAAATTTTTTCACCTTTTAATTCTACTTTATTATCATATTTGCGCTACTTGTAACTTTCACTCATATATGCCTCTAACTTCATAAGTCTGTTTGGTTAGATTCTATAATCGTAGCACTTAAACACATTGATCGTAAACTATAGAAACAAGTCCATACTCTTGTATTAATAATTTGATTATTGAATATAAGTCAGAATCTTAAATATAATTATCACTTTGTTAACCAAACAAAAAAAAATAAAATAAAATAACGATATATACTAATATCGTCACATTTTTTACCGATTATGATAATGTCATATGATTAGTAACATACATAATCCCTGTGTTATTGGTATATATAATTTCTAGAAGTCGCATTTTCTTTCATTAGACCTATTAGTCATGTGTTAGATTAAATAGTACAGTATAATGTAATCTCAAAAAAGTAATAAAGTAATTATATATATTACTATAATATAATTTCAGAAAATTTTTTATAATGAAGTAATTATATATTACGGTATATATGTAATATCAGAAAATTTTTAATAAAGTAATTAAAATATATTGTAGTCGGATAGTAATTATGAGGTAATTAAAAAGATTGAAGTATCAGCAGATGTGACATTATTTCATACTCTTTCTATTCAAATGGAGATGAAATTAGAGTGTAAATGCAATTTTATTTATATATGTTGCTTACCATTATTCAAACAAAGATTATGCATCATGCATTAAATTTGAAAAAACACTAACTTGCTTATAAATATCATAGCTGTATGTATATTGTTAGTATATTATTCTTTCAAATTAATTTGTACTAACAAACATAGCGAAACATTATAAATCACATATGCAAAAAAATCATTTATAATGCCTAAAAAAGCCGTCTTAAAACAAAACAAACAAACCTCGCATACCTCTAATAAAGAGACTGTGTCTACAAGCAACAAAGCATCTACATCATCGGATAAAGAAAAACGTTTTCATTCAATAATAACAGGACTAATGATAAGAACAATTTTAGTAAAGATCATGATCCTGAAGGCCAAAATTATGATGACTCTGCCATTTTTAATCAAGGACTTATGAGCAAGAGTGCTGAAGTTTGGAGCTTTTGTCCTTGATCTCTGGACTCCCGTTCACAATCTCGATCTTGATCTTGTTTACAGCGTTTTCGACCAAGAAACTCTTTAAGACATTTTCGTTCTCGCTCACGAGAGCATTCTTATTCATGATATTCTCGTTCTCGTTTACAATGACGTTCCTATTCATGACATTCTTGTTCTCATTCACTACGTCGTTCCCATTTACAACATTCTCATTCACGAAGTTCTCAACCTACTCGAATTCAGCCTAACAGCCACAAAACACTTTTATTCAGATCAGATTATAAAGCAGCGGCATTTGTTGCTGAACAACCAGAACTTTTAAAAATCGCAAACCAAATAGCTCATTATGATGATTATAAAATGTCAGACGATGAAGAAAAAACAATAGTTTTTAATCAACAAGTAAGACATCTTTTATTGAATAATAATTTTTATTATTGATTTTATTATTATTATTATTGATTTTTTCTTACATAACATTCTTAATCTTAGAAATCAATAAAATTCCAAACATTTTTAAAATGCATGTTTTTTAGAACGCGACATCTTACAAAAGCAATAATCCTTAAATATATTAAATTATGCTTTCTGTTCAAAAAATTTTCACACAAAGACATAACAGTCTTAAAAAGTGCTGCCAATGCTGCATTTCGATTCTATAGAGATGCACTTCGAAGTGGTCTCAGAAAAATTGCTGAATATTTTATTAATGATTTTAAGTAAGTAAAAAAAAAGCAGTTAGGTTACTATAAAACCATTATAATTAATTGAATTTTAATTATAGAGTTGGGTATTCTTCTCAAATTGAAAAAGTCGATGTTAAAACTTATCTTCAAAAAGAGACGTGGCAATCCTTTCTTAATCATTTCTACGAGGTGATCGATAAGGAAGCAACGCTTACGACTAAATTTAAAAGGACATGGTATACATTTATGTTAAAATGTTTGATGAGAATAATTAAAGAAATGTTGGATGAAGAAAAAAAGCTTGTTAGAATCACGGATTTGGATCGTCTTACTATGAACTATGATCTATATGACTTTGGAGGTATATTGAACCTCAACGATGTTGATTTTAAGGCGTTTCTAAATAAAGATTTGGATAATAAAGGGAAAGAAAATAAGAATTAGGCATAAATATTGTAATTGAATAGAATAACCCTTTTTTCACTTTCTTTGTGCTATCTATATACCGGTTCTCCAGGTTCGTTATCACAATTAGTACATTGCAACATGTGTCTATAATACCAATAAATATGTAAGATAAACCATCGTATTTATGCTTTGTATTCAAAAAGAAGTTAATAAAGTGTTAAATTAAGTAAAGGGTGGATTAGTAATTATAGTGCATAACATCAATTTTGCCGCTGTAAGTCGAAAATTCATTGGAATAATTCTACCACATCACTGGTAGTATTATAATTTCAGAGGAGTCGAAAAGATGAAAAGAAAATTTAAAAAATCATCGGGTAGGGAAATGTTATAAGTAGACGACTGTTATCAAAATAAAATTGGTGTACCGAAAGACATAAAAATACAGTATGAGAAATAGTATTATACGTATTGGTTTGATAAAATACACGCAAATATATTCATAGTTCAAATAAATGCAATCAAGAATTTGTCAACGAGTCAATATTAATATTTTAAATTTAAAAAATTTGTCTAATTATTGTGAGATCAGGTACAATCCATTTTAAAATGCTATGGAATATCAGGAGATGATATCAAATAAAGGCTATATTATAATTTTAGAAATATGCTCTTTTTGTCAAAATCTTTGTTTGCGGACAAATAAATTTAAGTTTTGATACCTAGAAAAGCTTTATTTAATGCTAGAATATTGATTATCTTATCAAATTTTTTATCTTTAATATATACGTTTAACATTTATTAAACATTATTTATATTTTTATCTAGAGTAGTATTAACTTCTATATAATCTGGATAGTAAACCATATAAACCAAATCCTAGAATGTTTTAAAATAATTAATATTTCATTAACAATTCCTCAACCCTACGAATAATGTATTCAATCATATGTCTTAGCCCAATCAAAAAATTATCTGAAATTTGATCATAATTATGCAGAGATCCTCGCTATTAACAAATTAATTAAATTAATTACCTTATCATTATTCTTGTGAAATTGTTTCTCCGGTGAAAATAATTCCTCGAAATACGGTATGTTGTATGAGGGAAAGTTGTCTAAATTAAATGGAAGAGAGAATTAGCGGAAAAAAAAAGAGTTATCATTTGATGTCAAAGAGTTTTAAATATTATCGTTTGATGTTGAAGGGTTTCTTGGGCACGTGATTCGATCATGATGAACCGCATGAAATTAATTAGCCAGAAATATGGGGCAGTTCGAAAGTTGATAAATTTAATTTATTATATAATGATGTAATAGTAATATTAGTTTTAATGCATAAAAAATGTGTAATCAATGAGAGTCAAAGAGAAGTTAAATATTATATCAGTAGTTAATGATGTAATTGAATTGATACAAATGATTTAGAGTTAAATGTATAGTATTAATGCAAATGAGATAAAGAAATAGTTAGCCTCTCTTTCACTCCAACAAAAAACTTATAAAATCATAAAACTTTTATATTCGTACTGAGATATCCTCGCTTTCCACTAGTCACATTTGAGGGCTGCGATAATTATTATAGAAATTTCTTGTATTTCATACAGGATACAAATTAACTATTACTTCAAGTTAGTAAGTTATGTCTATGTAATTCATCAATATATAAATAAATAATACTTTTTATACAAGTAATGACAATAAGAAAACCCAAAATTTTTGTATCTTAGAGCTCAATTATTCTTGCGATGACTCGTACTCGCACTTTGAAACAAAAAATTATTATTCATCCAGGCCGAGTAAGACGGCCTCGCCTGAATATTCGAAGTATTCGATGGCGATATTATAAACAAGCTGAATTTGCAGATAACTCTCAAGAATCTCCAGTTAATAATGACCTTAAGGATAGTGAAGATGTTTTAATTAATAATGACCTTGAAGATAGCAATGAAGACGACGATTTTGAAAACTCATCAACTAATAATAATAACCTTGAAAATGATTACGTAGATGACAACTTTGAGAACACTTCAATCAATAACGACGACCTTAGAAATAGTAGTGATGACCTTGAGGATATTTTAGTCAACAACGTTGAGCTTGAAGATAGTAATGATGATTTTGAAGATAATATTAGTGACTTTGAAAATAGAGATAATGACTTCTCAATTAATAACGATAGTCCATATACTCAAAAAATAGAAGATGTGCCTGCACTCTTTGAGCCCTTTTATGGCGAATATGGTCCATATTTCACTAATTTTACTGAACAAATGCTTTTCCTATAGGTTATGAAGCATATAATATGTAAGTGATTTGTTACAAGGTTTTTTGATTTTGCATGAAAAATGAATTATTGAAATTTATTTCTTTTACTTCTTTTTATTTTTTCTTCTATACTTTTTAAGCCACGAAAGCATACGAAGATTTAATAGTAATTATTAAATATCCATAGTTTCAATCTCACCACGCGCCTGAAAATGTAAAACGTCTTAGATCTCAACGAACAAGAATGTTTCTATTAAATATAAAAAGTCATTACATTCCTATTGATAATCGAAAAACACCTTCCACATCAAAACAAATTAAGCCTGTGTATACTATTTCAATACAAGAACATCTTAAACACATCTTGAATAACTCGTGATTAATAGCAAAGATGTATTTTGGTCGTGGCATTGAAAGCCAAGAAAAGTCTGAATTATGGCATGGTGATATTTGGCAACGGTCTCCTCTATATGGAGATGCATCTATCATTATAAATGATAGTAAGTTATTCTTAATAATTATTATAACTAATATTAAGAATTGGAAATATCTGTTAGATTGAATATAGACCCTATTCTCAGCATTAATTTATTAATTTATTAATTTATTTATTTATTTATAATATTTCTAATTTGTTTCAGTTGAATACAATATTGGATGGTTTGTAGAGTTTATCTACACCAATAATAAGAATCAACTTGAAAGGCGATTTGGAAGAATTGAGGCCATTATCTCATTCTTACTACCATCCAACCTTGAACATCCAAATGACCAAATGCAAGACGCTTTAAAAATGTCGAGATTTTTAAAGTATGACGAGTTGGGAATTCATTGCAGTCAGGATAGAAGTCGACGAGGATACAAAGAGCTTTGGATAGTAGAAGAAGATTACCAAATTATTCCTCTTAGCTATATATTAAAACCTATTTCAATATGGTTCGAAAATGTTCTCAAACCTGTAACTTACGATTTTCATGTATCTGAAATTCTATACCAAGACCCTGCTACGAAGCGAATTCATATTCGACTAGTGAGGTTTCGCTATCGCCATCCTTCCAAATATGTTATTACACCAAATCTACCACCCTTTTGTAATATGAAATCATTCAAGTTCATAGTTGATATTTATAATGAGGATTTTGGGACTTATTGCAATGTCTATCACTTATTAGGAGGCATCTATATTCAATTAGGCAATATGCCTTTAGATTTGCGAAAACAATTGAAAAACTATTTTATTGTTGGATTTGTACTATTCGGTAGCCATTTCGATAATACAATGCATCCTCTGCTTTGAGAGCTTCATAAGTTAGAAAAAGGTATCATAATGAATATAAATAGTGAATCTGTTTGGGTTATTGCCTCAATTGGAATAGTAATGGCTGATTTACCTCAGGTAGAATTGTATTTAATTTAGTTCAAGCTAATTAAACTCTATTTTAAGATCTAGGCAAGGTTGACTATTTGAAGCCATAAATTAGATTAAATTAATCAAATTGTGCTTATTCTTATATATCTTAGGGAAATCAACTCAGCGATGTTAAAAAACAGAGTGCTATTTATGGATGCTGAAACTGTCTTGTTTCGAAGGATCGATTAACTGACACCACCTTTGATAGAATACGTTGCGCACGTTTTCATCATGTTACCAGAGAACAATTTATTGAATTACAAGTATAATAAGCCAAAATTCGACAAAATTAGAGATTGATAATTTTACAAGACATTATAGTCTTCAACCAAAACCAGGCATTTTGTCTACTTTATCTCGAGATCATTATTTACAAACTCTCCATGATACTTACTACGCAGTTGCTAGCAAGATTCAAAGATTATTAGTATGTACTCTTAATTTATTAAATGAAAATGGCAAAAATTAATTTTTAAAATATTGGAGGTGGTTTGAAAAGCCCTCTACCTGGCATCATTTGCCTAATCCTATTACTCATCTTAAAAGTTTCATGTTTTCAGACTCATTACAATTAGCTATGTTAATACTATTTATTTTAAGACGTTTTCTAGCACCAGATTGCATTACTTTAAATAATCTTACAGCTTTATGTAATCGCTTGTCATCTTCTAATGATCGAAGATGAACAAGCAAGCAAATTGTTAATAATATTATCTCATGCTGGGTAACTGTAGCGGACACCGCAGTATATTGTTTTAAAATAAATCTAACTCTAAACGACCTGGATTGCCTTCAAGGTGTACTTGCAGAAGAGCATCGCATGTTAATCAAAGTATTGTTTTATTTTTAACATATAATATAAGTAAATATTTTGAATACTTTTTAATACTTTCTTATAATAGCTATTTCCCAATGATTTTGAAAATCTACCAAACCTTTATATCAATTTTCATTTATTACAAAACTGTAAAAACTATGCAACTAGGGTTCCTCAAAGTTGAATCGAATTAAATATTTACATATTTGAATTTGATCAAATCAAATAAGCTCTTGATTTGAATTTAATTTGATCAAATCAAAT